CAGGTCACCCTGGTAATCGGAGCGTGCTGGGTGTGAGAATCACTCCTTGCAAGAGCTAAAAGCTGAGAACAGTGAGGACCAACTGCGCTGGCACTTCTGAGCCAGCTTGCCGAAGCAGCGAGCCCTCTAAAAATAGCCCTCTTCAGGCTGACATCGGAACCCGGAGCAGCCTGCTCAGGGCAACCCAACTCGTCCATGCTGCCTGCTGGGCAGCAGAGGCGGGTTGGGGCGGCTGAGCGCCTGCCCTGCCCTGAGAAGAGGTTGGGGAGAAGGTTGGGGAGACAGAACTCTGACTTGAGGGCCCTTGTCTGAGGAGGGGCAGGGGAGGGTTGACCTGTTTCCCCCACTTCCACAAATGCCAGGCCCCTCCCCGCCCCTGTCAGCAGGAGACAGGGGACCGGATGTCTGGGTCCTTGCTGGGCTGAGGGGCGTGTGGGGGGAGACTTTCCCCCCCTCCCTCCGGGCTCCTCCAGGACTGGTCTTATCATCAAGTTAACATCAGATGCACAGGGGAAAAGAGCAAATTTAATCTCATCTGTTTGGGGAGCCCATAGAGACGGGGCGGGTGGGGGGCTTGTAACAAAATGTCAAGTGAGGTCTGAATCCATCCCCAGGCTAGCGGTGCCCGGGCAGGGGGTGGCAAAGTGTGGCAACGGCCGTGACAAAAAGAAGAGCAGACGCTCTGCTGTTAGATGTTTGCCTCGCCGTGCGATGAGGTTTCTCGGCTAGAAAGGCTGTTTTTGATTTTGGTTTTCAAGAAGCAGCTATAAGCCAGAGACACACTAGGGGTGGGGGTGGGGGGGGAGGAGGAACAAGGGAGCAGGATCAAAACAAGGCGGGGTGGGAAGTGAATGGGGACTATAACCAAGATGAAAATGCACACATGGTGCAAAAATGAAAAATGATGTAAAAAATATATAAAATTAAAACAATAAATAGATAACTAAGAAAGGCTATTTTGGGGAATAACCCTGATTCTGTATGGGACTCCCAGTTTGCGTTCTCCTAGGTAAATAAGGGTGTGGTCAAAGTTTCTCTTCTTGGGGGGGCCTGTCCTGGACTTCTTAGGGAGGCCCAATATGAACCCCTTCAGCGGTCAATAGGGGACGCCTCTGCTCAGCTGGGCATTCAGGTTCCTGGCTCTGGCCCAAAGTGCAGTGGTGTCCCCTCCCCCATCAGGACGCCTGGTGCTATCATCTCCTGCTGGGCCTGAGTCCTGTTCTGGACACCCCCTTCTCCCCCTATTCAATGCCTCCCTTCTTTGAGGAGCCCTCATGCTGTCTTCCTCCAGGAAGCCTCTCTGAGCTTCCTACTCAAAGAACCAGCCCCTTCTCCAAGCTCATCCCACTCTCCCCACTCTCCAGGGCCCTTGGCTTGGTGCAGCTCAGTGGCACCTCCAGTAGGTCCTAGCACACCCTGCCCTTGGTGGAATCCAGGTTAGAGAAGTTTCTGGGTGCCTCTGGCAGTCCAGAAGTTTCTGGGTGCCTCTGGCTGGAGTCCATTGTACAAACTATCGTGGTGTCCTGTAAGAGTCATCGAGCCCCACACAAGGTCCTAGAGGGAGAGAACAGGTAGGACCAGTGGTCAAGGCAGCTCCCAGGTGTCTGGCATTCCGGCAGGTGCTTGCATGCCTCCCCTCCTGAGGCAGCCCCACCCTGCGGCAGTCTCTTCTTTGCCTTCTCTCCTCTGCCTCTGCCACAGCTCTGCACCTGACCCAGGGGGCTCACATGCTCCTGGAAGGCCTCATGGGACAAGTCTCATTGGGCAGGAATGCAGGGAGGGGGGACAGGGAAACTGAGGCTAGAGATGCTGGGCCCTACCCAACATCAACAGTCTGGTGGAGAAGAGGCCAGGGAGGGTCTCCCTGGTGGCGCTAGGGGTTAAACACATCACTGTGAAGCTAGCCACAGCCACTGCAGCATGAGTTCGATCCCCGGCCAGGGAGCTACCCACATGGCACTGCAGACCTCTCCTGTCTGGCCTGTTACTGCTCCCCTCAGCAGTGTATTTCAGTCAGTCCGCCTGTTCTGTTCCCAACTCTGTCTCTAGTGAATCCTCTCATCCCCCTGCACTTCATGCTTGTACCCCAGTTCTTATATGCATAAATAAATCTTAAAAAAAAAAAAAAAGAAGAGGCCAGGGAGAAAATAGAGCTTGGAAGAAGGTGGGTGCTTGTACCTGTGGAGGGTCAGTCTGGTGTCTGTGGTGTGCCTTGCGTGCCAGGAGCTGGTAGGTGTGGGTTGAAAGGCCTCCCTCTCCCATGCTTGCTCCCAAGTGTCCTTAGCTAGCTGGGATAGGGTGGCAATGAGAGGCAGTGACAATTTCCTGCTGCTCCAGAAGTGAGGGGCAGAAGAAGGGCCGGGCACAGAGGCGCACACAGTCAGGCTGGCCAACGCTGTCCATTGCAGGAGAGCGGGTGGACCCTGCTGGGCCCTGGTCTCCATGCATTTGGTGGAGTTGGCTTCGGCGGGCCTGCTAGCTGCTGACACTCTGGAGTCTGGTCTCATGCACTGAGCAAGCTCCAGCCGCTGCTTCACCTGCCTGTGCCGCAGTCCCCACAACTGGGAAATCGGGGCGATGCAACAGTGACTCAGGGGCACTGTGAGTGCGAGATGAATATATGCAGGCAGTGTAGAAATGTTAATGACCGGCATCTCAGCGCAGGCCCTTTTGAGAAGGCAGTAAACACAGACCCCTTTCCAGAAAGAACCTCCTCCATAGACCCACTTTGGTGCAGTTTCCAGGGTTCTGGGCTCCTGGACGCGCCTGTGTGTAAGAACACACGCTGGCGATGTTCTCATCTTAATGTGCTTTCCTTTTTTTTTTTTTTAAGTTGGATTTTTGGACTCAAAGTCAGATGGGCAACTTGTTCTAGAAGTCCAGAGAGAAATGGTTGCCATTCCTCCTCCTCCCGCCCCAGCTCAGTCTCCTTCAGAACAACTTACAGCCATTTCCCCTGAGGTTTTTCCGCTCTCTCCCCAACTCAAACAACCGTGGTGCTGGAAGGGTAGCCCCAAGCAGGGGCAGGGCTGCTCCTGGCACCACCCCAGGACTGCGGAGTGGGCCCAGCCCTTCTGACTCACAGCCACATTCCTGATCCCACCTTCCTAGCTCTGCCTCTGCCCAGTGCCCACAGCTCAGTCCTCACCCCACTCCTGATGCCCTAATTTGTTGCCTCTGTGGTCCCCCGCCTTGCCTTTTTTCCTCATAGGTAACCAGAGCACGCTTTCAAGTTGCCAGCCCCACCACACCCTCTTCTGCTTGAAACTCCCCAATGGCTTCCCATAAATGCAGTGATTTTAGCATCAAGGTTGAGGGAGAAAAAGTTATGTAAGATTAGTGATGACCAGGTTACAAAAAAAGCAGAATTCTTCCTGGTAAAAATAACATCATCAAAGGGGATCTGGGGCTGATCCAGAGGCTTGTGAGGTCTCTGAGGGAGCCGGGCTGCAAGCACCCTGGGTGAGGGTGGGGTGGGGTGGGCAGGAGGAAGAGGCTGGGGTGAAACCACGGCATGCAAATGTACTGAGATGGGGCTTTGGGCAGGTCTGACAAGCTGCCAGGAACTAGGCTTAGCCATCCCGCCAGCCAGCCGCTCCTACCCGCCAGCCCTCTGGCTGAAGTTTCTTTGGCTTCCTGTGGGAGGGACTGTGGGGAAGGTGGGGAGAGGCCTGGACCTCTGAGCTCATCCCTGGCCCTCCCTTACGCCCCCTGGTGGGTGTCTACTGCACAAAAGACAGGGTGCAAGTGCCCCTTGGGCAGGTGCAATACGCCTGGATGTCCCCTCACATCTGACAGCCCTCTCTCTCCTGGCCTTTCCCTTTGTAAGTGGACCTCAGCCTCCCAGAACTGGGCTCATCACACTCCTATTTCCGACACACTCTCATCACTGTCCCAGGTGGGGCCACTTTAATTGGGTTATTTGTGAAGTATATTTGTTTACATTAATGAACTCAGAGATCTAGAACTTTACCAGTATGTGTATCTATCTTGTGCTCCTCCTTATCACATATCCTGTCCTCCCCCACCCCCAGGGATAATCACTTCTCTAAACTTTCTGTTTATCGTTCCCTTGCTTTTTAAAATAAAATTTTAGGACCTCCCTGGTGGTGTAAAGGGTTAAGTCTCAGCACTATAAAGCTATTGCCAGCCTCTGCAGCACGAGTTCGATCCTGGACCAGGGAGCTACTCACATGGCACGGCAGACCTCTCCTGCCTCCCTGGCTGCTCCCCTCAGCAGTGTATTTCAGTCAGTCTGCCTGTTCTGTTCTCCACTCTGTCTCTGGTGAACCCTCTCACCCTCCCGCGCATCTGGCCTGTACCCCGGCTCTTGTATGCAAAAATAAATAAATCTTAAAAGAAGATAATTTTATTACTCTATCAGTCAGGATAAGCCAGGCTATGCAGCTGTAACAAGCAACTTCTAATCTTCGTGGTTTCACCCAACAAAGGTTTGCTTCTCACTCAAGCTATGTGGCCAGTATAGATGGACTCTGCCCCACAAAGACCCCAGATGGTGCTGCTGCCATCCTCTGGGCCGAACAGGCAACGCTAAGTTCTGAGCTTTGCTTTGGCAGCAGGGAGAATAAGGACCACACACCAGTCTCAGAGGTTTCTGCCCCAAAGTGATTGTGCACTTTGGTGAGATTTCATGGGCCAAACTCTTCCCATGGCTACCCTACATTTCAAGAGGGCACAGACCTGGAAAGAAAGGCGATCTGGAAGTCTTGTTGAGGGGGGTGCTGTTGCCACAACCATGTTGCTGGATGTAATGTATAATATATCACGATATGTTTTTTGATTTTACTTATTTGTGAAATTTATAGGAAGGGGTTATGTGATCTGTTGAGATTTACTTTTTTACTCATATGTCACTAAAATTCATTCATGTTGTTGTATGTCGTAGCCACGGTTTCTTCCATGTCTTGCAGTCCTGGGTCCCATGGACAGGTTATAAACCCATGGATCCCCCTTTCGGTCGCTGCGCACCGACTTGCAAGGTCGTGAAAAAAGGACTGCTTGGGTTGCCGCCATTTCGCCCGCCTTCGGTCTCTGCGTCTTTCGCAGAGCTCCCGACTGCGCCATGTTGGGACAGAGCATCCGGACATTCACGACCTCTGTGGTCCGTAGGAGCCACTATGAGGAGGGCCCAGGGAAGAATTTGCCATTTTCTGTGGAAAACAAGTGGCGGTTACTACTTATGATGACTGTGGACTTCGGTTCTGGATTTGCTGCACCTTTCTTCATAGTAAGGCACCAACTGCTTAGGAAATAAGGACGTTTTAGTTCATCCATGAAACAGATATGAAGAGGATCATTTTAAGAAGTGCGATTTCTTTGAAAAGTCAAACTCTCAAACTCAACGTACTAAATATGTTTGTAAATAAACTTATGGCATGACTCCCTAATGCCTCTTCTCTGAAAAAAAAAAAAAAAAAATAAAATAAACCCATGGATCCATTTTCCTTCCAAGCGGCATTTGGACTGCCTTGATTTTTTAAAAAAGTTTTTTTTTTTTTTTTTTTTGTTACAGCCTCTTCTTGAAATATCATTTGGATCTCATCTCAACTTCATGGGAAGGTGGGGGCAGCTTCTGCCTCAGTCTTCAAGGTCCCGAAGCCAGGCAGTTGCCTCTCAATGGAGGCAGCCCTGCCATTCTTCCCACCTTCCCCTGTCTGCCCCACCTGCCCCGTCTTCCCCATCTCCTCCCTGTCCTCCCCAACGACAACCCTGTCCTCCCACCTGGCCCCTGGCCTCCCACCGTCCCCCCGTCTTCCTCGCTTCCCCTACTGCAGATCAACAAGCAAAGACTCAACACTGCCCTGTGTGCAGCCACTTCAACGCCTTGGAGCGCTTGTCTTGCAGCAGGAGGCAGGGCCGTTCCACGGGGCTGGGTGGCTGGGTCATTCCCTCCTTTCCCCCAATATACATTAAGCTTAGATTCTGAACCATGCACTGGGCTAGAGAAACAAAGAGTCGTTAATTTACAAAGCAGACATTTCTTTCTTTTTTTTAAAAGATTTATTTATTCATGCATACAAGAGCTGGGGTACAGGCCAGAAATGCGGGGGAGGGGGTGAGAGGATTCCCCAGAGACAGAGCGGGGAACAGAACAGGCAGACTGACCGAAAATACACTGCTGAGGGGAGCAGTGGGCGAGACAGGAGAGGTCTGCTGCACCATGTGGGTAGCTCCCTGGCCGGCCGGGGATCAAACTCGTGCTGCAGAGGCTGTGGATTGCTTCATAGTGTGGTGCTTAACCCCTTGAGCCACCAGGGAGGCCTGCAGGCTTTTATTTCTTTTTTGTCTACCCAAATCTGTGAGGCTGGAGTCATGAACAACGGGACCTGCCTTCAAGGAGCGCACACTCAAGATCAGGGTCCAGGGACACAGACACGGTGCTTGGTGGCTGCGCTGTCAGGTGTGCTGGTGCCGTGACTGCCCCATGAGGATTCAGTCCAAGTGCTCTGAGTTATACATTGTGTGTCTGTCTCTCTGTCTGCCTCTACCTGCCAGCCACTCTGTCCATCTGTCTATTGGATGTGATTTTATTCCGCAGCCTTACTGGAATAGAACAGGACACTGGATCTGGAAAGGTGGATTATCATTTTTATGGATCATAAAGTTCCTTAGCTAATATCTATGCTTTATATTCTTCTAGTTGGGGCCACTTAAAAATTCCCCTAGAGAGATGTGGTAGCTACAGCTTTTAGCTGCTCTTTTGATTTTCTCCAAGTCTTTGTCTTCTTTTTTTTTTTTCTCAGTTGCCGGGGGACCAAAATATCACTGCATTCTCTTGGGAAGTTAATATTAAGCTTGGCCCTACTGTTCGAGCAATGCTTTCACGGCTGTTGAGCCGTGGCTCACATTTGAATCCAAAATCCTAGGGACGCAACCCAAATTCTGTCTCTGATCAGCGATGTAGCTTATTGCTGCGATAATTAAGAATACCTATGGGAAGTTACGCTGAAGACGTTGCTGTGATGTCTTGAGCTGTCCATCCAGCCCCACTTCAAGAAGGTGGTACCATCCCTGCACCCCACTGTACCCACAAGTAAAGCAAATCAGCAGGGGAACCTCAGTGAGGGTGTCCCAGGAGAGGTGGGTGCCCAGAGGATGGTGGATCTAACCGTGCTATGCGGGAAGTATGGTGGGGAATGCAGAAACATGGTGCCACATCACGGGACTATTAAAGGGCCAGCTGGCATTAGCCAGGAAGAGACGGGGAGCTGGAAGTCCAGGCCAAAGAACAGTAGGTGCAAAGGCCAGGGTGGGGCAGGACACAGTGCCTCTGCAGGAGGCAGCGAGCAGCTTGCAGTGGCTGGACAGAGGGGCAGCACAGGGGGAGAGGGACATGACATGCCTGCACTCAGCAAGATTCCTCATTTCCCCTCACTCTAGGCACAGGCGGTAGCAGGATCTTGCATGGCCATGTAGGATAGATTGATGTTTTGTATTGCAGCAAAACACATAGAACATGAAGTTTACCTTTCAACTATTTTTAGGTGTACAATTCAGAGGCATTAGGTGCAGTCCCAGTGTTGTACTCATTTCAAGAACTTCTGCATCTCCTAAACAGAAACTGTTTCCAGAAGTCACGCTCCCCTCCCCACACCCCAGCCCCTGCATCTTCCACCATTTCGCTCCCTCTCTGTGAATCTGCCTTTGTCCTTTTATGTCTGGCGCTCTTCACTTAGCACGCTGATGGCAAGTTTCACCCACGTTGTAGGACACATCAGAATTTCATTTCTGCTTAGGGCTGAATGCTATTAGCCCAGGGTGGAATTTCGACGTTCCCTGGGAAGCACCGGTTCGCTGGGGAGTTTTCGGGTCCAGGGAGAGAGGGGCACCGGCCATCAGGCTCTCCCATGCATGTGGGAGGGAATGGCGAGGAGGGCAGGGCCTGCGGAGCCTTGACAGCGGGTCAGGAATGACATTCTGATCTTCCATCCCAGGTCTCACCTCCCCAGGAAGGGTAACTTCCCCTCCGAGCCTCAGGGCCCTGTCTGTCTTCCAAACGTCCGCAGCTGAGCCACACCATCTCTGCTCTAGCCACTTGGCAGGTGGGGCTGTGCCCCAAGGACTCCAGGACCTTCAGGCCTGGCTCCCAGTTTCCACTTGTCACAGCCCAGCGGGTGACGAATGTCTCAGGGAGTTGGGGCTCAGGCGCAGGGTTGCCCACAGACATCTACGGCACCTGCTTTCTCTCCCAGCCCTGGGGCTGATCAGACCCCACCCTCCAGCCTGACTGCCACCCCCAACACACTGGGCGGGTTTCATCTCTGGCGCTGGGCTTGGAGGAGGTGGAACAAGCCCCAGGGGTGTGGATAACAGGGTTATAATCCAGCGGGATGAGACTGAGCTCTCTGGAGTCTCATAGCATTTTTCCAGCCCCGGCCACTTTATTACCATATCGCTGAGTGATGGGGCTCGGGGGAGTTGTGGTTCTAGCAGCCGCTCCTCCGCTCGCCGCTGGAGCCCCGCTTGCCATTGATCAAGCTACAATTGGGCTGAGCCAGTGCCTGAGTGCCTGCTGCTTCCCGCCCCCTGTGCTGTCCTCCTCAGTCTCCTCTCTCTCCCCCTCCTCAGAATCCCCTCTGGCCCGTGGAGAGGCCCTTCCCAGTGCCCACCGGCCTGGGGGCTGTGGGGAGCCGAGTCACCCCAGAGGGGCAGACTTGGGCTTCAGTCTCAGGGATACTTTGTCTTCACTGTGTGACCTTGGGGCTGGGTTTCCTTCTTAGCACAGTAACCGGGTGGGGAGAATTGTGCTCTGAGATTTCTTCCTTGACTCTTCCATGACTTACTATTTTTTCAAGATTCCCAGCCAATTGTATGGTGTTTCCTTCCAAGACAGCGACAGCATGAAGGAGTCGGGTGCACAGGGGTGACCGTGCAGGCTGGCCCCGCCCGGAACCCGAGGCCATGAGGGCCTCCTCTTCCTCCAGGAAACCTGGCACTGGCCCCACGACCCAGGCTCAATGGGCGATAGGCCTGACAGGCCCCCTGTGATCAGAGCATGTGGGAGACCTACAGGCCATCCCCATTCAGTAGGTGGGGAGCAGCCCACCCAGGGAGAGAGGTGTTGGGACAGACCAGCGCAGGGTGCAGACGCCAGCTCCAGCCTGCCTTGCTTAGGCTAACGGTGCCTACCTCATACGGCCGCCGGCCGCCGTGTTCTGGTCGCTCTGGGGAAGGACATTTCACAGATGAGGGGATTTACCAGTCTATAGTTTTATAACCACAATATTGGGCCAAGTGATTCTAGTGAGCCGTCGCCAATGATTTACCTTTCTTCCCAAACAGGTGGAGACAGTAACTAAAGAATGACTGGGCCTCGTTTTAAGCAGATCCGAAGAACAATTGTTTTCTTCACAAGCGCCTTTTCCCTGTCTACCTGGAAAAGTGTCTCTGGCCTGTCAGTCAGCCCCTTCCTACCCTCTGCCTGTGGAGGGGAGCCGCAAACATCGGGTGATAGAGACCGACCACAGCTCTCCCTGGTTGTAAGGTCTATCATATGTCCCAAGGGAGAGTGAGGGGACCTGGGCTGTTTGGTGGGCCCCCAGGGGAGTTGGGGTTCTCACCTCTGGCTTCTCAAATGGGTCTGGATGGGTCCCAAGAAGGAGACTCCAAGGAAAGACATTTCATAATCTCCCTGCAAATTGGGGGTGGTCTTGGGGGGACATGAGAAAAACCGGAGTGGTGGGGGACAGAGATAGGCTCTTGTCTGTAGCAGTGCCAGCAACCATTGTATGAGTGCAGATAAGGCCTTGCCTCTCCCCCCAGGGTGGCAACCCCATCCTCCCCATCCTCAGTGGGTGTTGAGAGGATAAAAATGAGGGAGGCGGGCCTCCCCTGGTGGCACAGCGGTTGAGCACTGGGCTGCGAAGCTGCCCGCAGCCTCTGCAGAGCCGGTTCGATCCCTGGCCACCGGGTGAGGGTCCCACATGGCGCGCAGACCTCTCCTGCTGCCCGCTGCTCCCCTCAGCAGTGTATTTCTTCACTCTGCCTGTTCTGTTCTCCGCTCTGGCTCTGGTGAATTCTCTCACTCTCCCGTGCTTCTGACTATACCCAGTGCTTGTATGAATAAATAAATAAATCTTTAAAAAAAAATGAGGGAGGCACCCTAAAAGTATTTGGCAAGGCTCTCTACCCCCACACCCTGGCCAAAACATTCAGCCCCTATGTAGATTCCATCATCAAACCTGAAGAGCAGGTCACGTGAGTAGGGTGACCCAGACAAACCACAGCTGTCCAAGACAGGCAGAGTGAGAGTTTCCACAGCATGGAAAATTGCAACTCTGCAGAACAGATGTGATCAATGAAATAATTGGACTGTTGGTGATTATTTAAAATCATTTCTATTTTTAATAAATTCACTTAAGTCTATATATTTACTTTTAAATGTTGTTTTTGCT